ACTTTAACTACCACAGACATGTCTTCAGGAGGGACCAGTCCTTGGAGAAGGACATCATGCTTGGTAAAGGAGGGGTTAGCAAACAAGAGGAAGATCCTCCGTGAGGTGGCCTGACGCAGCGGCTGCAACAAGGGGCCCCCACGCAGCAATGGTTGTGAGGGTGGTGCAGGGCTGGGGGTGTGTGTGTTGTCGCCCACACGGTCACTGGAGTCGGAGCTGACTGGGCAACGCCTGTCTAGTTACCTTGTGCTGCTCTAACAGAGATATCCTGAGGGGTGGCTTCAACAAACAAATTTATTCTGTCACAGTTTAGGAGGCGACATGTCCCAGCTCAGGGCACTGGTTCTCGGGGAACGCTTTCTCTCTGTGGGCTCCAGAGGAAGGTCCTTGCCTCTCCCACCTCCTTTCCTTGTTCCCTGGAGATCTCCATGAGGCTTGACCTCAATCTGCCCCACTCTCCTTGCTAACTCACCTGTTTACTCTTTTTCACGTCTCAAAAGGGATTGACTCAAGCACACCCTATACTAACACTGTCTCGTTAACTCGACAGAGACAGCCCATTCCCAAATAGGAGTATAGCCGCAGGCATAGAGGCTAGGACTGACAACACAGATTTTTGGGGGACACAGTTCAATCCGTAACACCACCACCAACAACAACTGAAGAACGCAAGTTCCTGGAGAACTTCCTCTTGACCCTCAGGTCAGGATCTGGGCTATTTCTGAAAACTTCCCAGACGATTCTGATGATGTTGTTGTTAAACAACAAAACAAAACAATGCCATTGAGTTGATCCCAACTAATAGAGACCTTCATTGTGTTTCCAAGGCTGTAAATCTTTATGGAAGTAGATTGCCCAGTCTTCTGCAGAGTGGCTGGTGGGTTTGAACCACCAACCTTCTGGTTAACAGTGATGTTATGGGTTCAATTTAAAATAATAGCCACTATCAAGTCCACTTTTGGTAAGAGCTTTATTTAGGCTAGCTGACTGCAGGGAGCTGAAACACACTCCCATGCTGCACTGCCTTGTGCCCCAAAGGGTCTGAGTTATAAAGGCTAACGCCACATCCCGTTTGGCAAGCCTTAGTATAGAAGCAGAAGTTGCGGTTAATTACTCTTCTTTGTTTCAAGGACCCAGAGTGCGTGCCTGGCACAGGTGCATCCTGTTTATCAAGGGGTGAGGGGTGTTTTGGCTGCTGAAGGAGTCTGGGGTGAGAATGGGGGGGCACACCCTGCCCACGGGAGCGAGGGCAGGATGAGATGGCCACTTCAGTAACATGCCTGAGTCACTGTGTGTTGTTCTTGTTAACTCACTGCCGTCGTGTCAATCCCCACTCACAGCGACCCCTCCTTGGGTTTCCGAGGCAGTATCACTATGGAAGTAGATTGCCCAACCTTCCTTCCGAGGAGTGGCTGGTGGGTTTGAACCCCC